GCATTTTTCGTGGGTGTTCTAGTGTTAATTTCTTGGTATCACTTTATGTATTGTTGAGGGAGAGTTCGTCTTCAACCTCGTACTGGAATATTTCGATTTCGCTGCTTTTTTCACAACTCTGCAGCAGTTGGAAAATATGGTTCATATTGGGCTGGTATTTCCTGAAAATAAACCTGAAGAGTAACATGAAAGTTAATGTAGTTAGAACATGTTTTAATTAATGAATAAAATACATGTAGTGAAGTTTCAGTGCATACAGATTGAGGTTCATTAGAGTTGTTTAGCATACTTACATTAGATTTACAATAGTACATGTATGTTTGTACATATACATGTATCATCATTTTATTTTCTTGATGTTGGTGGATATAAATCGGTGGTAAAGGGAAATTTTTTTGTGCCGTGAAATACAGGTCATGTGACTGAAATGACACAATGTTATTGGACAGTGATGCAAACAGATGGCCTCGTGGTCTTTCCTCAGCAGATTGCGTGCAGATTGTTTGCAATTTTACCTTACTTTTTCAGGTCAAGTTCCTCTGAGTCCATTCTTTTTAAGATTGTTTATAATTCTCAATACATGTTGTAAAAATCTGTGGCAAAAGTAACCAAACAAGGCACCAAACAATTTTTTTAAATGAATTAAATAGAATGAGAAATGGAATCAATCTCTTTTGGACGAGGTATAGTTCTTAAAAGAAGCGGTGAGTATTAACTTGACATTTCGGCCAGTGTGCTCTGGCCACCTTTAGGAGAGTGTCTGCACTGGGCCATACACTCAGTCATTGAGGAAATCTTGTGGTATCTGTTTAGTGCCAACTGTTTAACAAAGAATACAAAAGTACAAAATACATGTACATGTAGTTTTACTATCGACTCGTGCTATTTCCAGCTTGGCAAAGACAAAATTCCTGTCAGAACTTGAAACATGCATCATCAGTCCTAACTGAATTGTGCACGTTCTGTGGAGAAATATTCTTCAGTGATGAACAGACACTGTAAAATTTGGTGTTAATGTTAACAACCTCCATCTTCATTCACTGATCAAACAGCGGAAGAGCATTGATGAGGGCACCCTTTAAACGTGGAAGCATACATTCTAATGATTGACTATGATCCTTAAGTCTTTTTCTATCAGCGAAGACGACACAGTCGGCGATCTCAAGAAGCTGATTGCTGCACAGACTGGCACAAAACATGAGAAGATTGTCCTGAAGAAGTGGTACACCATCTTCAAGAACCACATCACGCTCAGAGATTGTATCCTTTGCATTGTGTTTAATACCAGGAACCTTGAGAATCGAACTTCAGCTCGTCAAATCTGGTGACCCTGTTAACAGTATCACTGGTCTTTTGATGGCTGCTTCCAATTGCGGTAAGCACCTGTGATAACTGTTGTGCTGAGCCAAAGTTTTCTGATAGTTGCTCCACATAAAATCTAACATAGTGCTTTCCGCCTTCGAAAGGGGAATCACGTGTCCAGTGAATTGTCGCCGTACGCATCTATGTAAATTTATGCAGGCAAGCGATGATTGCCTCAGTTTGCTGCATGGATTCAGTAAGCAGGCTATTATTTTTTACTAGAAAATCTGTAATTCTATGGTTCTCATTTCTGACCAACTCTTTTTTTCTGGCTTTAATGGAGGATAAAAAATACGTATACTGCCAACCCTGACTGGAATTTCCGACATAGAAAGAAATCGAGAACATATTATAATCTTCAGAATTTCTGGGAAAAGGAAAGTACAGTGTTTTTTTCCTTTTTTACCCCCTTTCTTCCCTTGACCAACTCTCTCTCCAAAAAAATAGGAGAACCATTGAGTAAAAAAAGGACACCTTTATTGTACAAGGTTGTACAAGGTTACATGGACCATGGGTATCCTCACATGTGTACATGTGCTAAGAAGTGATATCTGTTGTTGCATGCATTTTTTGTCGCTGCATTTAGGGGAATGGATGCAGTCCAATATGGTTTGCATGGTACATGTATTTGCACATCTCTGGGAAGGAGATCAGGGTGGTTCAGTTGGAGATTTCAATCTTGATCAGTTAACAGCCAACACCGGTTGGCACAAAAACTCATAAGGCATGTCATCACTGCCAGCCAGTGAGACACGCAGAGGGGTCTGATTCCCCGGACATGCCCTTCCTGTCCAAAAGGTTCATTAGTTTCCTTGACCAAGAGCCTTGTCTCTTCCCTTAGACGAGATTGGCGATGGAATGAACTTAGAACTGTATTACCAGTGAAACATGAAGCACTCTGTACAGACAGTTGATCTTGGGAACACGGGCCTTCAAGATCACATGCTTCAATTAGAGAGTCCCCTGTCTTCTTTCCTAAGGAAACCATGCAAATTTTTGAGGTGGCCGGAAGAAAAGCCAGAATGTGGCTCCAGCACAGCTCATCCAGCCCAGAGAAGTTTTAACAGCAGACTGCAGTTTTCTCTCTCATCCTGATAGATCTCACCTTACCTATTCAACCGTGTTCGCAAACTGCACCACGTTTTGTAGGTATGCGATGGAACCGAAATCGGATCAGTGTTCAGAGATTTGATTGAAAAATCAGGCCAGCCTTGGGCAACTCCAATGCCAGCATCGAAATGGCACTAATTCCAAAGTTTCCTGAGAATTTAATTGACTTTTCTTGTTAACTTCTTAAAACAAATTACTTTGGACATCTGGTAAAAATGATCTTTTCAGAGGGATTACACATCTCTGCATGGCCCTGTATTAGTGACCCTAACCAATGCTGAGCCTCAACAGAAGTCAACAAAGTGTTCTTGCTTTCGTATGTGGAGTTCAGCATGCTTCACACATTTACAGCTGTAGGATGTCATTGGTTTCAGTAGGGCGGCAACACAATTAGGTTGGGGGGGGTGAGGGCTGATGTAGTTTTGTGAAGGTATTCCCAGTAGTTTTTGCTGGATAAATTTGGAGTCATTTCTGATTGGAATTGAGACTTCTGCAAAGACCTGAATCCCCCTCCAGTATGCTGGAGCAGCCTAAGCCTAACTTGTAACTTTGTGTGTATTTCTGTTGATACATTTGCAAGCAGTAAGCATTGAAGTGTAGAAGGCTTGTGACTACATGTACATGGAAGTTAATCTTTTATTTTGAGTTAAGTGGTTCAAAGAACCAGTTACCAGTTCTCAGAGCCATACAAATCCCCCCTAAAAAAAGAATAACTTCCATGGTGTCACCACAAACCTTCCGGGTTTTAGCATGCACTAGTCTATTTTCTGTCAAGATTAGCTCAAGATGCCTTTTTATTCTGATAGTCATTGTTTTCGTTTTGTTTTTTTACTGACCAAAAGCAAAGCTTTGCTGTTTGGGGTTAGATTTCTTCAGAGTGTTGGTGGCCTTTTAGAGTAATGTAGAGTTCGTCCGGAAAAGCCAGTTTCTCATTTTCGGTGTTATTCTGATCGTTCAGAATAACTTCAAAGGTATGAAAAATCTTCTTTGTGTTGCTTTTCTTCTTAGCTTCAGCTGAAGCGCCATTGTCATGGTGTATTATTGGTGTTTTTATTGAGAAAACTTGATAAGCACAAAGATAGGAACCCATTTCTGTTTTTTTCTTCAATCTTAGTAAAAATTTCTCAAATTGGCTCCAGATCTTCTAACCTGCTTTCTTGCAGCATTTTTTAGGTCAGAAACATTCTGAACTTAACCAAATCTACTGCCCGTGTAGAGCCAAAGCATCTTATCTTTTGTATATAAAATGTATGGGGGTTATCATGTGCCATGGACAGTATGTTGCTTGTTTTATGCAGGCAGTCCTCTACAGTGGTGTATCGGGGAGGGGGCAAGTCCCCCCAGACATGTTGTGTGATTTTTTTGTTTGGTTGCTTTGATTGAGAGAGCCAGCATTTTAAAAACTGTAGTATCACGTGACTTTGAAGGGTTAAGTATTTTTTTTTACAAGTGAAGAAAAAAATTGGATAGTCATTTTTTTTGGGGGGGGACAGAATCCACTCAAAATGAACAGAAGTAAGTTTGTGATGAACCCTGAAGTTATTATCTTGTAATAAATGAAACTACACAAACTGAGGTAATAAAAATTGGTTCTAAGAAGGTTTGAGAATGTGAGATTTTAGTTTTCGTATAAAAAGGGCTTTTTCATTGAAGAAATTTCCGTCTGAAGATGATCATCCCTTAAAGTAGTCCTGAAGTCCATCACTTGGCGTTGCAGAATACTGTGGGGCCACTTTAAAGGGTAGTTGCGATGGAAATGTTCAAATATACAAACTTTCAAAATGCAGCACTTTTGTATCTCAGTTAACCCCATGTTCAGTTTTGGTTCTCTGCTTCGAAGGGTTCTTGCTGGCTGGTTTCTATGCTAATTAGTATTTTCATATTCATAAGCAAAATTGTAGTGTCATCCCAGGAAGAAAGCAGCAACGTTACATTGCTTTGTATACCAAAAAAATGCATTTTGTTGAGATATTACCGGAGTGTTTTCTCGTCTTTGGTAATTCATTGTTGCAGTATAGGTTTCCTCGGTTAATTTTGGACTTCTTTCATTAAAATCACTGAAATGAAAGTTAAATTTCTTCAAAGAAGAATTACTCGCTCCAAATATCGATTTCAGTTTCAAAATAGCACCACTAGATTTCACTTTTAGGGCACGAAGAGCAAGATCTTATTCGTCCTAGTTTTTATCATTTTTGTCTTAGAGCTGTGCCGAATATCCGAATATTCAATCTATTGTCAAATATTCGATAATCATTTTTCGAATTTGAATATTCGAATGCAAAATTCAAGAAAAGGAAGGGACATTTTTCTTTTGTTTTAAATGAGAAAAATTGCACAATGGAGGTTTGTTTCAAGCAGATTCTAATGAAAAGTGTCAGAAATCTTACGATTTTTTAAATCATTGTAATATTTCTGACACTTGTTCACTTATTCAGTAAACAATTTCAAAGAAGTATAAATTTCAAATGGGCAAGACGTCTTGTTCATCTCTTAAATCTTGTAAATCGTGGCTGGAGATACCCCTAGATGCGAGAAGCTATTATATTGATCATAATGCACAATTGTGCGTTATTGCAACTGATTTTGTATATAGTTTCTTCAATCTGCTGGTCGATGCGACCGCATATTCGGATATTCGATCAAATTGAAAAGCAAAGTCGTTTTTGTCATTAGTTTTACTGATTTTATCGTTCAATTTCGTCATTGAATTTATTGTTAAGATGGTTCGAATTAGCGCTTGTTTGGATGTCATTTTTGTTATGCTTCAAAATTAACTAAAAAGAATGGTGAAAGAAATCAGGCATAAAAAGTTTACAGTAATTACGTTAAGGGCCAATGTATCAGTTCATAAACGAAGAATGACACGTAAATGCAATGTTCCCTTCATATGGGCGAAGAAAATTACCTGCGCCAAGATAAATAATGAAAAAATGAATTTTAACAAGGACGAAATTGAATGATTAAATCTGTAAAATGATTGACAAAGAAACGAATCTGCTGGCCCAATCAACGCCATTCCCTGAGTGAGACGAAAACGTCGATACATAAATAGGACAGGTGAGAATAGATTTTTTTTTCGTGAATTACAGCGCTCAGAAAGCTAAGAGGACTCTGTGGTGTTATTTCGAAATTGGAATCAACATTTCGGGCGAGTGAACCCTCTTTGCCGAAATTAAACTTTCTTTTAATTAAGCAATCTTAAAACGAAGGAAGTGCTAAGTTAGCAGGAAAACCTATACAAAGCTATACGCAAGCAAGCAACCTTCAAAAAAATTGCTTTACACAATTTGATCACAAAAACCGGTACACTGCAGACATTTGTCTTCTCTGAATGGCATCACATCTAGAGACCTGTACAGAGCAAGTTACGACATGTGTCACGGAAACAAATTGGTAGTGTAGGCTCCAGTGCACGATGGTTGTACTGTACTAAATTCGCACCGACACAAAACAGTGCACAATCGGACAGAACTAGCGCTGCCTGGTGACCTTCAGGAATAGGTTGGCTTCACGTGTGTCACTAGAACTTCAAGATTATGGTCACAACTTCAGTTTTCTTTTTACTTTCATTAATAGGGTGAGCAAGCGAAAATGTTTTATTTACCTCACCCTTCCCCGAAAAAATACCCCCAAAATTGTCGTTTGAACTTGCGCCCAGTTGGTTTGTAGCTGCCTGCCTCTATGCAAATGAGCCCACAGGAGGTCGTTTGGGGAAAAACACCCTGAATTGGAAGCCAAAAGCCAAATTGGAACGCCTTGGTGCAACTGTCCGCGGAAGCTGATGTTTTTCTTTAATTTTGCGCACTACCTCGTATGCGAATATGGATAGATGCAGGCGCGCTATCAGTGCACAGCGACCAATCTCAGCCGTATAGGCCTGCATAATGCACGATTAACGTAAAATGGCATGCATGATAACGTAAAATGGCCGACCTTCCAAGACGACTGCAGCACGAGTTGTCTTGTTGCTTGAATTCCGCTGCAGATAAATTAATGTTGGATGATTTTCGTGCCAAGCAGCGGCAAGCCGTTGAATAGTTTCTGCAGGGTCACGACGTTTCTGTGAATTTTTGTTTTCGTAGCCAAGAGGCCACGGGAAATCTGTTATTTCAGGCCTGCACCTTTCTGCTCAGAGCTCCTGAGACCAGATACAAAGCCCATCCCATAGCATAAGTTAGATTTTCATGATTTTAGCATTAACACTAGCAGGAGTGGTCCTGTGCTACCTTTATCTATTGGACGAGTTCTTCCTCATCGTTCAGGGCTGATTTCCTTAGCCGCACAATATATCATCCATAGCAAGAAATTTCTGACCGAAGGTGTTAGCAAAAAGATGGCTGCTCGTGGCGCATTAATTTTGCCAAGTCTGCAGAGGCCTTGATCTCACACGAACAAACAAGGGAAGGCTCCTTGACGGGCACTTACCCCGCAGGCCTATCGCTTTGATGACTAGTATCTCAGACATGAAGACAGTGGCAACACTGGGGTTGCGCAATCGAAGTATTTTCAAGGGCATCTTTAATCCCTACGAGTATAAACTCCTCATAGACGAACCTTTAGCCTGCTACGATGCGGCAGGGAACTCTAAGGAAGTATTCCTGCCGGTGCTTGTGACCAGCAGTCACGCACACACCGAGCGGCGAACGGCCATTCGCGAGACCTGGGGAAACCCGCTTGAAGTGAGGGAGAAGCCGATTGTCACGCTGTTTCCATTTGGGTACGATCAAAATTCCACCATTCAGCGTCAGCTGAAGGAAGAGTCTAGCAAACACCACGATGTGCTCCAGGAGGATTTCTAAGACACCTACAGGAACCTGACGCTAAAGACCGTCATGGGGTTAAAGTGGGCCAGCACGCACTGTCCCCACGCTTCATATGTCACGAAGACAGACGATGACGTATACGTCAACAACGACAAACTCGTCCGGCTCCTTAGCGAGACATCAACCGCGCCCGCGAACTACGCAGTTGGAAATCTATTGAGTCGCAACATCCCGATACGGAACCCAAGGAGTAAGATATGCATGCCCAAGGAGATGTTTCCTGGAAGTGTGTTCCCGCCATATCTCGCTGGAGCGGGTTACGTAATGTCGACGGATGTGACAGGGAAGATCGTTGACGTGTCGTTATTCACCGAACTTCTGCCATCAGAAGACGTTTTATGGGAACAAGGCTTTCGACTATAGCTACAACTGGGGACAGACTTCCCTTTATCGTAGCTGCAGGTTGAGAACTTACCACGTGTCAACTTCAGAACAAATGCAAAGCATACTAAGACTCTGCCGCCTTACTAAAGTGCCCGATATTTTTACTGCGGCATCTGCACGGATGACATTTTTGTTTCTTCCTCCCGCTGCTGGCGCTGTTAGTGTTTTTGATCATACTGTCTTTGGGGCAAAGGATCTGCTCTGCTCTCTCATGTTTTTGCCCACAACTTGCTGTTAAAATCCTGACCGTCATTAAAGAAGCGAAAGAATAATTCACTCAATGTTAAAAATCCCACGCAGCTATCAAAACGCCAAATGATAATCAATGCTGCTAAATATTAAATGAAAATACGATCCTCAAATGTGCATTTTGAGGTGACATCTGAAAACTGTAAAGGGATAAATTTCAACAAAATTCTGGGCTGTCCGTACCAAAACGGCCAAGAGCAGGTGCTACTGAACCTCTCTATGTGTTGGTGGGTGTCTTTAGATGGGTTCCTGGCCCTTCTACAGGGGCCACCACAGCCTGTGGGCACCAAATGTGGGAGACTGGGTCCGTATTTGCACCAAGGAAATATCTGCCGTAATGCCATCTTCAACACGCCGACAAAAGACAATCTGCTTTTACTTGGGTTTGTGTGGCTCTCGACCGTTTATTATCACCAACTCCGAAACACACCCAAAGCAATGTGACTCAAAAAATTACTTTTGAGCCGGCGCTGCGGCACCGGGTCTCCTGGGCTGCCCACCAAACA